CCTGCTACATGGCAGTATGATCCCAACTGTGGTGGTTGCACGGAGGCCAAAATTGCCAACATGACCAGTGCCAATGGTCCTGTTTGCATGAGCTACTGCCAGTATGTGGGAACTGCGGTCTGGCAATATGACCCAGATTGCCAAGGATGCACCCAGGTGCGCTTGACACAAGACTCCAAGGGAGAGTGCAAGGACTACTGCCAGTACGAGCCTTCGAACGTATGGCAGTACGATGCTAATTGTGGAGGATGCACCCCTTCTAGCTAACGCTTTGTCAACCATTTTGGGCCAGGCATTCAACATCTTGCGATGTTCGTTATTAGCCGTTACAGGAGGCTCAAGGCTCTTGTTTGGGCCAATCGCTCCGCAGACAAAAAGGATCGGCATGGCAGCGGGAGTTCTTGCAAGAAGCGGATGCTCCACATGAACTCAAGCACATGCCCATGACCCTAAACATCCCATTGGGATTTTTCTGGACGATTTGTCCCAAGCACATGCCACATGCCCACCCATCGGATTTCGCCACCCATCTCGACGACCCATACCGAGATGTTGCCGGACGAGTTTTCGACGGATCAACGGCTCATCAGGCTTGGGCAACGGCGCTTAATCCTTCCAATTCACTGCAACGAATGCATGTATTCTTAGCGTCTAGAGCACTGTCATGTAATCATCACTTGATGAGCTATGTGACATCAAGCACCCATACTTACCTGGGCGGAAGCTCGGAATCTAGATTGGCATCGAAGTGGTTTTGATCCGCTTTTTCAGATGCCGTACCCGTGGTGCCAAGACCAGTTCAGGGCAGCCTGGTAGCCATGGCTCTCCTTTGGCGAACTTCTGGGACATGCTTGGTGCAAGGCCACAGTGGCCACAGTTCAGAAGAAGATCCTCCAATGCTTTTGCCTGAGTTATTAGTAATGAAAGATATGAAAGGGCCCAGGCATGATCCAATGGTGTAAACATCTCATGACGTCAAAGTTAGAAGCCCCAGCAGTTATGGTGTTTGGTCCCGGTCCTCGTCTTGAGTTTGTTCTTGGATCGGTCTGTCCTTTGCGGTCATTTTTGAGAGTAGGCGGATAGCTCCGAGGCCTTAGTAACTTAGTAGGCGGTGACAGCGGCGACGTCGCTCTTTTGGAATACAAGGACAGGTGGACATTGGTGCCATTGTTGCAAGACCAATCGAAGCCGCACTGTGTTCCATTGACTAGCCTTCAGACCTTAACATCAGGGACCTTTAAAATACATTTAGCTTCAAGCTCAACTGAACACTAATGTCACTAATTAATTACTTCCGAGAAGCCAGCCACCCACACCACGTGCTGTGGCAGGTGCCTTTGGGTTCAGTGTGGATGCTCGCACAAATCAGTGAGACAAAATTGGGTGCAGCTTTTTTGCGGAACATAATGTATGGCTGTCCCAATCGCTGGACAAGATGCAACGAAACCGCGGAGATTATAGTGTGTGTATATATATATGGAAACACATTTGAATTCTTTAGGTGTTTGGGTAATTTTGGGTTACTTTGTTGGAAGCCAAAAGTTCCGAGATGGATGATGAGCAGCTTCATTTGGCACATCTGCGAACCTTAGCTAGACCTGCTTTACTTCCGAAGCTTCTTTTGCCCAAGCGGTTCAGCATTGAAAACCCATAGGCTGAGCCCTTTACTTACTCGCTAGGCGGGCAGTGCTTCCGCTCCTGCTTGGATCCAGCTCGTGTGTCGATCCTAATTTGGCAAGGCCACTAGACCAGCTAGACCTAAATTGGATTTTATGAGAGTATGGCCACTAGACCAGCTAGACCTGGAGGGTTGCGGGGACGCCACTTGCGGGGTCCAACAAACTGGCTGGAGGGATCTGGAGAGCCCACACTGCTCCCGCTTGACGCCACGCCCAGCATGGCTTTTGTCTTCGTTCTCGGATGCCTCACCCTGGCAGCTGCGGAGTGTGGCGGCTCCTGCCAGGCCAGGTGATGTGGGCTTTGTTTCTCAAAACAGAGACTATGACTATGACTTTGATGTTTTTAACTGTTTGTGTCAGGAGCACGACGGCTGGCGACACGATTTGCTACAGTTCTGATTTGTGTGAGACTGTGAGAATGCCGAGCGGCAGGAGATCGCAGAGCATGAAGAAGTTTTGGAGATGAACACGGAGCTTTTGCAGGAGCCGCTGGCATATCAGTCATTAGTTTTGTAGACAAGGCGGCGGTAAAAGGCAGCATAGAGATCGAGCCCACAAATTATATAGCCAAGCGACATTTGAGATGCCCCTTTTGCATTTGAACATTCTGCGGCGGAGCGGGGTATTTGGAGTCCTTTGTTAGGTGAAGGTTGAGCTGTCGAAGAATCAGTGCGTGCCCAAGCTGTCGGCAAAAACCAGGAAAACTTGACTGGTTAGCGGACTAAAGCCTAGCCTTGACACCCGTGTGAGAGAGAGAGAGAGCGAGCAGATGGGGGACGCTTTCTTGAGGGAGGCCCATTTCTCCAGTTGCCAAGTCTGTTTGCACATCTTCCTTCCACACACTCTAGCGTAAGGCTTGACCTTGCAGATACGGCGGAGAGAGGTCTCCTGGCGGCAGAGAGTTTCCACTCCAACACCAACACAACTGTCGTTGTCGTATTGCTCGTGAAGCTTCCTGTTCCATGGCTTGAGGGCAATTTGTGTCATTGTTGCTTGCCACACTATGCCACAGATAGGAACTGAACTCCATTCCTTGTTGAACCAAGGTGCCACGGTCAATGCAGCAGCTGGCTTAGAGTGCAGATTGAGGGATAATTGAATTTTGTTGAAGCTGCTCTTGATTGACAATACTCATTGACTCACCTTGCATCATGTTTTTCGAACGCCAAGGCCGCAACGACAGGCGGAAACTGCGAGAGCTGGTGCCAGTATGAGGGGACTGCCGCATGGCAGTATGATCCCAATTGTAACGGCTGCACATCCTCACTCATTCAACAGTTTGCAGCACAGGTGCCGGGAGTTTGTGCCACCTGGTGCAAGTATGAGGGACCTGCTACATGGCAGTATGATCCCAACTGTGGTGGTTGCACGGAGGCCAAAATTGCCAACATGACCAGTGCCAATGGTCCTGTTTGCATGAGCTACTGCCAGTATGTGGGAACTGCGGTCTGGCAATATGACCCAGATTGCCAAGGATGCACCCAGGTGCGCTTGACACAAGACTCCAAGGGAGAGTGCAAGGACTACTGCCAGTACGAGCCTACGAACGTATGGCAGTACGATGCCAACTGTGGAGGATGCACACCCGCCTCTTTGTCTCAGGGCGTTGCTCAGGAGTCTGAGCAAAATTGCAAGGGGCACTGCAAATTTGTGGGCGCTGCTGTTTGGGCCCGTGAGGCTGATTGCCGTGGCTGCCAAGCTTCGCTGATGCAGCAGCACACAGCACAGGTGCCGGGAGTTTGTGCCACCTGGTGCAAGTATGAGGGACCTGCTACATGGCAGTATGATCCCAACTGTGGTGGTTGCACGGAGGCCAAAATTGCCAACATGACCAGTGC